AGCCTGTTGATACATTGGAACTGGTAAGAGTGGGAAACCAGGTACCATTGGAGTAGGAACTCCCCAATGGGAGCAACCAGAAATTTCAGCAATCTGTGGATTACTGATTGGCTACCCCTAGTTCTCTGTCCCTGAGCCTTCCCCCTGTGATACAACTGGCTGGCTGGTCTGATTCTCACTTTCCCTAGGAGGACTAAGTTGGATTAACTTTTCCTGCTCTCTAGTGTTCTTTTCCACCTGCTTGAGTAAGGCGTTGTGTAGCCTACGTTCAGCTTGTTCCTCTGCCTTGGATCTCCTAGTTGCTCTGGCCTTGGCTCTAATATTAACTGCTGCTTCCTTAGCGGAATCCCTGGTTTTACTGGTTTGTTTGCTCTTACCCTGCTGCTGTGTTTCAGAAGTCTGAGGTGGAGAAAGAGTGGCAGTGGAATCATCCATTATTTAGCTGGATGATGTTAATCCTAGTTGTTATGAGGACTCTATATAACTAGAGTATAAATGCTATAATGAATGGGTGGTAATAATCTCAGGTGAGAGTGCTATCTGTGACCCACTCAAGGAAAGGGAATTCAAATTCCTGAGCAGTCTGCTAGTTGCAGCAATCTGTCAGGCCAAGGGATCACCAGTTGGGAAATGAAGGAGAAAGCCTCCAAAGACTATAGCTGCAACTCCTGCAAAAGGATAGAAAAGGTGTCCTAGGTTTGTTCAAAAGGTAGTGGCTATTTGTATCTGAACAGGCTGAGTTAGGTTTACAGCCAAGCAGATATATGAGATAATGGGCGTTTGCAAAAGTCTTTGCTCTCCAAAATGGCGCTCCCGCCAAAATTACTTGCTACTATGCCCAGCAATGAAGTAGAAACAGCCACAAAAAATTCCTCTGCTCTGATTAGGCAACTCTCCCTTATTTGGGCAGACTGCCTAGCAGGAAAAAATCGCGCTAAAAGGTTGGCAACCCCTGTGTTAAATCAAAGGTTTGTCCACCAAATAGCTGGTTTAGCAGACATCAGATACAATGGAAAACTTTTCTGATCACACTCTATCCCATTTGATGTCTATTCCCTATTAAATTGACAGTTTAGCCTTGAAAATGAGGGTTTATCCATTAAATCAAAGTTTTACTACAAATGAGGCCATTTATGTTAATTATATAATTACACAAATGATGTAAATTGATGCAAATGGTATAAATTGATATTTAAAAGATATTCTCATTTAATGAACACCTCACATTCCTCCAACCAATATATTAAATGGATGGTGTACTCTATAAAGATTTTTAGTATACCTGCAACCATGCAACAAGACTGCTTTGAGTAAAAAACCACAGAATATAACTCCATCTTTGAGAAAATATTGCACAAGAAAATTCAGATATAAATTGAAATATAAGTTTTAGCAGGAATCAAAACAAATTATGGCATCAAGCCAGGTTCAGACTTTTTTAATTTTGTTCACTTGAAAAGAGAACTGTATTACATGATAACAGTCTCCCCCAGGTTAAAAACATCTGACTTTCGGACAACTTTTAGATTGCCCTGAATCCTATTATATTAAAAAATACCTGAATACAAATACAAATGGTTCGTAATAATAAACATGCATTGTTTTGTGACATGTGAAAACACTGCATTGCTTCAATAATATGTTGGCTCAAAGAAGAAGAATGATGTCCAACATTTTAAGTAGGATCATGATATCGAGTAAGTATTCTGTCTTATCTGCAAATCTGATTTAAAGACAGACTTAAGAACAGATCTCATTTGTAACCCAGGTTCTGCTTATATTAACCATTTCAAATCAAACGTTTATTGTCAATGCACAACAGATGAAATTGAAATTTATGACTTATTTTGATTAATATGTAATATATCCTTCATTCAACTAATAAAACAAGGGTAAAATAATGCCAGTAACACTATCCATGTTTTCACCGTGATATTGTGATCTCATTCCACAACACAGCACTTTATTTACTTGTTTGTAATAAATAAACAGCCCAATTATCAAAGCTTTCTGGATCATTCACAACAAAACACCATCCTAAAAATATCAAATCAAGTTAAAATATATACAGTAAAATTCAAAAGTCATTCATCAAATTAATGAGCCAATTGCATGCCAAAATTTTTCAGATTTCTAATTTATATAGATTTAAAGGCTTTGAAACAAATAAAAATATGCTTTAAAGTTTTTCTGTGCACTCAGACTATATATCAATAACTGCATTTACTTTTTCAGTTGTGAGATGAAAACAAGAGATTACAAGGAAATATACTGGTTAAAGATGCAAGCTTGTACATTCAGTATGAGCATGCTTGGGTAAAACTAGCTCTGACTGCACCTATGACATAGACACTAAAATGTGCTAAAACTGACTAGTATTGTCCACAGCTGGAAATGCTGCATATAACAGGGGTATAATTAAGGTTGGTAACCCAATTTATAATCTCTCTATATTATTAAAGCAATGAGTGGCAGCAGTTAGTATCTATGTATCCAACAAGTGACAACAATAGCATATGGAAATGGTAAAGGGCATAGGAAAGAGGGAGGAATGTTATTCTGTAGGTTACATGCAGGCATATTTGAGAGTGAATAACTTCATAGAAAGTCAGCATAAGCTCTGTATACAAAAAAATTACAAAATAATCTCCACCAAATAAATGAAGAGTGAATTTAAAAAAAGAAGTTGCTTTGAAACAGATTGAAAATAATGTGCTACAAAGGTGGAGACTACATTCTTGCTTTTCAGCAGGAAATTTAGAAATAATCTAAAGAAATCTACTGAGCCCTTGTACAAATATTTGCCCAAAAACAATTGGGAGGATTTATTTTAACATTAAAGCTGGCTAATATATAAAGTGCTATCCCAAATTGTTCTTTGTTGACCATTGTTCCTTAAATTGTATATTTTTTATTGGAATACTTCAGATTTATAATGTAACAATCTGATAAAGATTCCCTTGGCATATATTATTTCAGCAAAATCTTTCAAAAATCCAATCATCCTCAGGTCAAGCTAACAGAATTCATCTTTAAGCATTATGATTAAAATCAAAACCAATAAATACCATTTTTGCAGCCTCAATGCATGCAACAATTTAAAGCAACATAGCAAAAATATTTTATTCATTTTATGTTACAGTATCACAAAGAAAAATCTTATGTTCGCCTTGGACTATAAACTCACAATAACATGGTTAAGTCATACAAGACTCATGACAGACTACAGTAAGTACAAAAGCTTTCCGATTATATAATTCAATATCCAATTCAGGAAAAACAAGCAAGTCACACTGCACATTTTCTTAGTGCTTTTTAAAATTCTCAGTTCTTCTTTTGATCTTCAAATATGTACATTATTCACATGCATGAAAATAGAAACTTATGGATATGCTTTGCTTCCAAAACCATTTACACTGTACATAAAAAAAGAAAAGTTGTAAAACTTCAGAATTTTTATCAGTGCCACATACATTTTAGTCTTCAAATCAGAAGCATGTTATAAAACTGATATGATGAAAAGAAAATATTACATAAGAGAATTACTCATCTTTTCTTTGCCTATTCCTTAAGACCCAGATGTGTTTAAGTAATTGATAATGTAAACTTTACATTCAACATTAGATACCATTAGTTAACTAAACCAATTTCATAAGTAATAAACCAAAAAGCAACTGCAATTTCGTAACTCTCCCATGAAGCAAATTCATTGCATTCAATTATTCAACACTTCGTCAACAGAAAGCCATAATTAAATCTTAATTTACGTCTCCCCAGCAAAATCTGAGTTTTTTACATCTTAGAATAATGTTTTAACTGCTCTGAAAAAATATTTGAAATACAAAATTCTAATCACCAAGCAGAAAGCTACTAAATTATATTACCATATGCTATATTAATAAGGCTGCACACTTAGTAAGATACTAAGATCACTCCCTGTTTATAAATGAGATAGAGAGGTTGCAATTAGAGGATCATCTATCTATCTATCCATCCACCCATCCATCATATCTACCTGCCCATTTCACGAAAAGCAACACAAAAATGCATATAAATTTCTAAGCTAAAAAAGATTTCCTTGTGATTTCAATTTAAATATTGAAGCATCGTGTCAGTTTTTAGCTTTGTTGATGAAGGAGAAAATCACGTTTTTTTTTCCTTTGAAGAATCAGCAAAAATTAAAATCAGCTAGCCAGCTCATTACCACGTCTCAGTAGCAGCATTGAAGCTCAGTACAGTTTGACATCACATTCAGAACTGATGCCAAATCACAATTCTAGCAAATCAGGCAGTCTGAAAGCCATAGCTTTGAATTGTTATTAACACCTTGTTGTAAGGAACACAACATTAATATTACAAGACAGTAGTTATTAAATGGAGCACAGTAGTTATTAAATAGAGCACAGTAGTTATTAAATGGAGCACGGTAGTTATTAAATGGAGAGAAAAGGAATAAAGGAATTCTTAATAAAGGTACATGTAATATCGCTCGAGGAGTAGCATTACACGTGGAGTCAGGGGTTTATTTTTGTCGCCTGAAAAAATTCCGTACCTATTAGTCCAAAGATCACCTTTTGCCCTTATTTCCAAGGTGTAGCAAGCAGAAATATAGCACACTATTCCAGTTAAAGAATGGGAAACATTTCATATCTCAACGATCCCAGTTAACTGTGAGTTCCCTGTGTACAGGATACATCTTTCTGAAAGGAAATCTCTGGATTAAGGGCACCAAATCTTAGACCCAACGGCTTTTTGCGTGGGCGTTCAACGGGTACCCACCTCTTCTCCACTTCCCCCTCGTTCTCATTCCAAGCTCCTTCGAGGCCTCTAAGGCCAGCTGAGATGCCTGGTATGGAGAGGAACATCGATATTCCCTATGGCACGCATGCATACAAGCATGCATGTATGTATGCATACGAGCATGCACTCAATAGTGTTCACCCCTTCTCTCTTTGTTGCAGCGAAGGGGGCAATTAGGAAAGACAGCGACCGCTCCGTACCTGGATGTAGTTGGTCTCGCAGTATTCGGCCACCCGTTCGAGGTTGGTGTAGCTGTCGAAAAGGGCCCGGCGCCCTCCCGGGATCTCCTCCTCCAGCAGCATCTGCAGCTCCGCCATTTTCACATCCTCGCGCGTGCGCGCTCAGCCCCGCCCTTCTGTTCCCTCCTTTCCACCCCCACTACTCCCCAAAACCCAGGCGTCCCGCCTTTTGTCCACAACGCCTGCAGCAGTTAGGTCCGCGTCCTCCGCCGCTCACTCAGCGCTCGCTAACCCCCGCCGCTGGCCGCGGGGTTCAACTTCACCCTCTACCTCCCACCCACCACCCGCTTCTCAGCTGAGGCGCGACGTAAACCAACAGCAGCCGCGGCAACTGCGCATGCGCCGAAGTTTTCCATGAAAATTCTTCGCGGGCCCCCTTTCTCGGCAATTCCCTACCGCCCAGCGTTTTCTGTTCCCACTTCCGGTGCCTACATCCCGACGGAAGTGGGGTTGGAGTTACTAGGAAACTCCAACACTAGGTATAGTGACTGGAGAGGAGGTTGGAGGAAAAAAAGAGAATGTCTCCCACTACATTTGCCCATTCAGATTTAAGGCTTTTTATTGTTGGCACAGTTCTGCATATGTACCTAGACTCACTTTTTGTCCTTTACTGTATTAATTTTTTAACATAAACCATCTGAATATAAGAACCATGAGGCATTTTAAGCAGAATGTTATTTGATACAGTAAGAAAATTATTGATTGAGACCTAAATCTTTGTGACTGTACCATATATCACCTTTAGGTCTGCTTTGTCATAGTTTGTGACTTCTGGTGACTCACAGTTTCAGCCATTTGATGAAGAGGGTTAGATTCGACAATCATGAAATTTTTATTTCCAAAGTCCAGCATAGAATAATATAGTATAAAAAGTCAATAATAATCATCTGATCAGTGCTGAATATTCAATAGGAGTGAAGTCTGATGCAAGACTATTTTATTTGTCAAGTATGTATTAGGTAACATGTATAAGTAGAAACATGATTATGAATACATGAAATGGATACAAATAAAAAGAAACATTAGGACAGGAACAGTAGGCACGTTGGTGCGCTTATGCATGCCCATTACAGTCTTGTTAGGAATGCGGTGAGGTCAACAGTAGACAGTCTAAGGTTAAAGTTTTTGGGGTTTGGGGACTAAACCACAGCGTCAGGTAATCCAGATATTGACCACTCTGTTGCTGAAGTCGTACTTCCTGCAATTGAGTTTGGTGCGGTTTACCTTGATTTTCTATCTATTATGTGCTCGTGTATTGTGGTTAAATCTGAAATAGTCGTTGATGGACATGGCAATAGATAATTTTATGTACTATGCTTAGGTCGGACTGAAGGAGGCATAGTTCTAAGTTGTCTAATCGTAAAATTTCAAGTGAGTAGAGGAACGGAGGAATCTTCTCGGGAAGAATCTCTGGACTCTCGATTGTATTAATGTCTGATATGCAATGCAGGTTTCAGACAGATGAGCTGTATTTGAGAATTGGTCTAGCAAATGTTTTGTATGCTCTAGATAGTAGTACAGTATTACCAGAGAAAAAGATACACAGGATTCAGTTAACAACTCTTAATGCCTTTTTGGCAATGTTATTACAGTGGGCTTTAGCACTTAGGTCATCAGAGAGGAGTACTCCAAGGTCCTGAGTGAGTTATATACAAGGTCATATCCATTCAGATTGTATTTTATTTTCTGGTTGTTGTTGTTTTTTGCTAATATGTAAGACAGCATTTTTTTTGTTGAGATTTGAAATTGCCACTTGTTTGACCATTTTGACACATAGTCAAGATCTTTTTGAAGGGTAACAGTATTGTCGGTGGTGTTGAATAGTTATACATCATCAGCGAAAAGAACACAGTTCCTTTTAATATGTAAAGTATAAAGAGTTGGTCTGAGAGTTGGTCTGCTGCCTTGGGGGGCACTGCTGTTGACAGTATGGGATTTGATAGGGTGCTCCCTATTTTGACTATTTTTTGCCTGTGACAGGAATACAGCTATCCAATTATGCAGGTGTCCGGAGATACCATAAGATTTTAATTTTAAAAGTAGTTTGTTGTGTACCACTGAATCAAAGTCTATATAAATAGATTACAGGATAATATTTTTCTTGAAAACAAGTTATTTGTTAGAGAATAGGTTGTTTGTCTCTAAGTGGAGGGTAATGGATTGGTTAATAATTGATTCCATGACTTTGCAGGTGATGCAACATAAAGAGATTGGTTTGTAATTTTCAACTAGGCTGGGGTCTCCCTTTTTGAAGATAGGAATTGTCAGATCCGTGTATCTGCCATTCTTCAATGGAAGAAGAAGGGGGGGGAGTTGGCACAAGTAATCCTTTTTGATATAACCTGAATATCCTAAATCTTATATTGAATCTGTATAACTTGCACATGATATACAACTGGAGGACTGGAGCCAGATGTCTGGAAACTTGTCACCTCTTGGAGAGATGGCAAGAGGAGAAGGGACCATAAAAATTCAAGCTCTGGAAGGTATATCCCTGGGAAACTCTTCTAAGAAAAGGGGAGGGGGGAATTAACATGTTAAATCCACATCAGAATAAGGGGAGGGATTCTAACTCCCTTTATCTATTACTGTATGCCTGGAAGCCTGGAAGCATCTTACATTCTGCTTTGACTAGTACTGGGATCACTTCCTTTCAATAAAGAGTTTCTTTTGAAGTACCTAGCTTTCAGAAGTTCATTCTTTTCGGTTGAAGGGGGAAAGTCCAGTGCTTACATAAAGCAGAATCTGCAATAGAGGTCAACACGGAGAGGATTTTTTTTTTAAACTTCACTCTACCGAGGGGACCCTGCAAAAATGTCTGAATATAGCAAGGAGCAAGGGGAAGCTGAATGCTGGGGAGAAACTTTGACGACTACCCAGCCAGACACTGACATTGTATACCCCATCGAAAGTGAAGCTGCCTGCGAAAATTCCACAAAGCCCAGGTCGTCTGTAGGCATAGGAAAGAGAGACAGCTGGGATGGAAGAACCAAGAGAATAACCCTCACCTGGGGTAACTGTAAACCCACATGGAAAATGGAACTGGAGGTCCTCTCTGATCAGGAAGAATGGGTCGAGGAACCACTGGCAGATGACTGACTGAAACGGTACATAAATTGCCTCATAAGGGAAGCCCTGGTGGACCTCAACGTGAGGAATGAACCAGGTCGCCAAAATAGGAGAGCGGGTGAACCAGAAATTGAGAGAACCCAAGCTGTCACCCCTAATCCAGAGGAGAATGATCGGGCATTGGAACAAGATGGAGGACCAGCAGCCACACAAGATATCCGACCCCTTACCGCTCCAGTGCAGGGGTTTAACCCTGGCCAACCCAGAAACATACAACTGCAGAGAAAGGTCCTGCCCTTGGGGGTAAAATTCAATGGGGACCCCCAGAAACTGGAATTTTTCCTGGCGCAAGTCCTCACTTACATGCAAGAATATGGGCGGAATTTCCTGACCCAGGGGGCCTGAGTGTGAGTCGTCAACCTGGCCCTAGAAGGGGCAGCAGCCAGATGGATGGTGACTCTCCAAAACATCAATGCCCCAGAACTGAGGAACCTCGATCGATTCATGACAGTCCTACTCCACCACTTTGAAGATCCCCTCGCTGACAGAAAAGCCTGCAACCACATTAGAGTCGTAAAGCAAGGCCATCGCCCGGTAGCTGAGTACACCGAGGAATTTCGTGACCTGGCCGACTGAGTCGACTGGCCAGAAGATATCCTAGTCTGTTCAAAGATGAACTCAATGATGACCTGTACACTGCCTGCCTAGCCGGTGGGGCTCCAAACCTCCTGCATGAATGGTACCTGATGGCAGAGGAGGCAGAGATAGACATGACCCGTAACCAGTACCGCAGTGGCCGAGTTTGGAGAAGATCCCCACCCCAGGGAAAGTGGGAATTTTTCAAACCCCAAGCCACCATGACTCCAAGACCAGCTGGCTGCTTTAAGCGTGGAAAAGAGGGGCACCGTGCAGCAGAATGCCATTCAAAAACCCCTGACAGAAAGCCAGACCACCCATCAGGGGGGAAACCTGGAAAATTCAACCCTCAAGGAAAAGAAACTGGCCTGAGAAGCCGAGAAGCTGTGAGGTTTTCGTTCCCCCCCAACCCAGAGGAAGAATCCCCAATGCCCCAAGGAGACCTGAGCCAGTCTGAAAGCGATCTGGAAGACGACCTGCTGGTAAGCGACCCACTCTACCCCAAAGACTGTTTATCCCCAGCCGAGGGAAGGGGGAGGAAGTTGCAGCGTTACTGGATTCGGAATGCACCCGATGCCTAATAAACCCCACCCTAGCAGAGAAATTGGGAATCCAACTAAGGAAAATGGAAAATCCCATCACTTTCTGCCAATTAGAAGGAGCTATATCGGGGGTGGGGGAGAGCCAGCCAGTTTTACCACAGAATCATTGAAACTATGACTTGGGAACCATAGTAAGATGCTCACATTCATTGTAGCACCAGGAATGGAAGGGCCACTAGTCCTAGGACTCACATGGCTATGGAAATGGAATCCAAAAATAAACTGGAAGAGAGGAACCGTACATTTCCAAAAACATGTAGCATTTGCAAACAGCCCAGAGGAAAGGAAAAGAAAGAGAACAGAGAACAGAGAACCAGCCATGGCCGGTCAGCTGGCTGAACCCATTAACATCCCCAAAGAGTACCAGGATTTAGCCCAAGTATTTAGCGAGGAGCCTTCTGATGAACTCCCCCTCCCCATCACGCCACAGACTGTGCCATTGAAATCCTACCAGGGGCTAAACTTCCAAAACCAAAAATGTATTGCATGTTCCCCAGAGAACTAAAAGAACTCAGACCATTTATCAATAAAAATCTAAAAAGGGGTTTCATCAAACCTACCTGACCAAAAATAGCAGCCCCAGTATTATTCCACGAAAAGGATGGCTCTTTGCGTGTATGGATTACAGAAATTTAAATACCATCAGTGTGGAGAATATGTACCCACTCCCCCTCATGAAGGACATGTTACCTCACCTCTCTAAAGAATTTTTTTTTCAAAGTTAGACCTACCTCTCATACTACCGCATCAGAATATGGGAAGGGAATGAGTGGAAGACGGCTTTTAACACCCCACTGGGATGCTACCAATTTAAAGTGCTCCCTTTTAGACTACAAGGAGCACCTGCCATGTTCATGCAATTAATTAATGAGACTCTCCATGATTTTTTGTACAAAGGGGTTCTTGTTTATCTCGATGATATTTTAATCTACACCGAACAAAAGAAGA